GAAATCTGAAGAGCCAGGAACCAGAGGTAGGGTAGGAAGATAAAACTAGAATTGTTAGTACCTTGCAGGCTAATTTTACCCAAATCTGGTTAGCAACTGTTGCTACAAACAGCAGCAAAGAATCATAAAGTGTGTTCAATAACCACACTGCTGCAATGAACCAATAAGAAAAAAATGCATGTAACGAGAGGAGGCATTTCGTGTGCTTACTTTTTTTTTTTTAAGCCTTTGAGGATAACTCAGGTGGTGAAGACCAGGACCTGGAGTATATGGAAGGTTTCTTAGTCATCCTGACTCTAAAGCGAAGCTTTCTCTTGAAGGAAGGCAAATCATTATATGAAATAGCACAAAACAATTATTCCGAAATAGTTAAAGTCTAGAAAGAAATACAAAGAATTTTATTTGACCTTGTAGAAGAAACCAGAAAGTCTTAGGATTAGAAGGTCTTTCTGAGTTCAAGTCTAATCCCTGCATCCCATTTACAATGGGATGTTGAACTTCTGCTCAGCTATTTCCAGAGACTTTATATTTATTCCCTCACAAAGACAGACCATCCTAATTCTCAAGACATACTTGTTCTTAGCAAGTCTTCTTCATGTTATGCTTAAGTCCACCTCTCTTGTCACTCCTCTCTGTAGCAGAATTACCCACCTTGCTGTTTTTGATAAGACAGGCCTTCATGTCACCAAAGGACATAGTCTTTTTTTCTCTGGGCTGAATATCTCCAGATTGTCCTGGTGTTTCTTGAGCCTTTATTCCCAGGCCTTTGGGTCCTATTGTTGCTCCTCCTGCTTCTCCCTTACAGCACTGTTGTTGTTGTTATGTGCCATCAAGTCAGACCTGACTCATAGCGACCCCTCCTTGGGTTGCCGAGGCAGTATCACTATGGAAGTAGGAATGCCCAACCTTCCTTCTGAGCAGTGGCTGGTGGGTTTGAACCACCAGCCTTCTGGTTAGCAGTCAAGTGCCTTAGGCACTATGCTACCAGAGCTCCTTGTAAATGGCCTGTTTGGGTTAGAAGACACAGGTGTGCCCTCTAAGCCTGGAGGAAACCAGATGAAGGACTAGGGAATTATAACGCACAGCTTAAAGTTGTGTTCCCTTCCTGAGCATCTGGATCATCCTATAGACATGTCTTCATTCCTTGACTTACTAAGCAGCTTTCCAAACCGTCAAATCCAGGGCTAGTTGCACCTCTTTGATTTATTTGCTTCTTTAGTGGCTAATTAATATCAATGGGGATGTGAATTTCTTTGTAGGTATTGATTTAGTGGTAGGTAGGACATTGACATGATGCCCCTTTGGGTGCAGGGAAGTGTAGTGACTGCATACTGACTCCAGCCAGCACAGGCACTGAGGGAGACTCAAACCAAGTTGTCCATTACTTGGGAAAACAACCCCAACATTCAAAATTAGAAAAGCCTTCACATGGAGATATTTACCGAATGTTTAAAGAATAAATTTGTCCATAAAAGTCAAGACTTAAATTTATATGAAGTTACTAATTGTCATGCCGCATAGTAAAACACCTGGTTTGAAGAACATGGGGTTGTTACCTACTTCTCAGTGCCTCTGACTGGTCTCAGTCAAATCTCGGGGCTTCTCTGGGATTTGGTTGCTCCATCTGTAAAGTGAGGTTTGTTTAGAGATGTCTACATTCCCTTCTAGTTCTGTGGTGCCCACAAAGACATTTAAATGGTTTCTTATGACAACTGATAATGCCACAGAGGCATAACCATAGTGTTAGGTAGAGATGTTGGCCTATATTGCTTGGGGCATGTTTTGGTTACCTAGTGCTACTCTGGCAAAAATATAACACAAATGGGGTGGCCTTAACAAACAGGAGTTTATTCTCTTACAGTTTGGAGGCTTTAAGTCTGAGTTCAAAGTGCCAGGCTCTAGGGGCTGGATGAAAGCCCCTCAACTTTGGACTTAGTTCTGCCTTCTGCTCTTGGCCCACTGAAGCCAGAGGCTTTTCTTCACTCAGACAGCATCTGGCTGCTGAGGCTGACTAGCCCAAGGTTGACAAGTAACAAGGCACAGTACCAATATTACCAAACCAGGCCATTAATTTAAGTCCACTAGAAGGCCCAAGATCAGCAGAGCACGGCAGGCTGCTGAACAATGACTCAGCTACATGCAGGGTTCATGTGTGCCATAAGCTAGAGACCATTCCCAAATCTGCTTCTTATATACAGGGAGCAGACCACATCCCTAAAGCAGCTGTTTGTGGTAGATTCCACCATGAGTTGTCAGTCTCATCATGAGGAATAACTACCACCAGCTTCTCAGCCACTCAACCAGGCCCAGCCAAGTTGACATACAACTTTAACTACCACAGAGCACAAGGGCGAGTGGACTCACCTATCACATTGAGCTGCTAAGGATGACCATAGGGTCCAGCACTTGAGTAGACCTTACTGACAGGTGATACTGGCATCTGACAAGGGTTGTGTGGGGAAAGCTTTTCTGGGTCCACTCTACAAGCATTGATGGAGAGGCCAGTCTGTTGCCTCCTGTATTATTTCATGCATGTACTCTTGAGGATCTGGTGTGGACCAGCACAGTGCTGAGTGTGTGGAAGATGCAGGGATGACTAGAGACACAGTTCCTATGGCTTTAAGTGGGGATGTAGTCTTGTGGAGAAGAGGAAGTGATCTTGATAGGGTGGAATCATGAATCACAGAAGCCTTTCACAGAAGAGATGACATCATGGAGGTACCCTAAAGTATGAGATGGATTGTCAGGTGGAGGAATGAGAAGATCCTGGTGGTGGGAATGCTAGGGAGACATGGTGTGGGAAGTGCTTGCTGCTCATAGAGGATGGGAGGATGGTGAGACTTCCTTGGGGGAGTTAGCTTGGGGAGAAAGCAAGTAAGGCCTTGGGTATTCTGTTGGATATTTTGGACTAATTTTGCAGGCTCAGCAAAGACCTTTAAGGTTCCTGAGCAGGAGACTGACTAATGTGTTTGAAGAAGCTCACTTTCATTACCATGTAAGGACATATTGAATAAGGTACTGGAGCCAAGGAGGGGAAATGTGATAGGCCAGGAGACAAGACCCACTGGAGCCATAAGAGCTTAAGGAAAGGCTGGGTAAAGGAGAGAAAAGGACTGGACCTAAGCCTTGATGGGTCCCCTAGGAGGCTGGGAGAAAATGAAAAAGTAAGGATGACCCCTTACTGTGGTAGAATGGGGCATCAACTGCAGTTGAAGCAGGAAGAAGACCAGGGTTGCAAAGAGTGGTCAGTTTTAATTTGTCAATAACCAAAGTACCTGGAGAATAAAATATAGCAGTTGGGGTTGAGAGGATTAATGTGGGAGCCACCCCAGGAGAAGGATGTGGGGCAAGAGGAGAAGGGGGTTCACAGCCTCAGATTACTTCTCAGACCCAGCCTGAAGTCAGTAAAGGAACAGAGCTCATCATTTCTTGTACTGCATCTCATCTCAGACAGATAGAATTGGAAGCTGCAACTGCCCAGGCATGTGACATATGTGGCTGGGCAGATTTTGGGATGCTAACATTGATGGACGTACCCTCTGCCCAGGCCTTTTAAATCAGGGTCATGGCCTTTAGGTCTTCAGCCTTTCTAGATTTCCTGGGCAATGTAAAAACTATTTCTTGGGCACTAGAAGTTAAAATGGGACCTTGTGTGCGTCAGCCCACTTTGACTGGTAAAACAATCTAACATTTGCTTTCAGTATCAATTTGTACAAGAACTTTTTATTTATGCAAAGTAGCTGAAGCAGCAAATAATCATTATGATAGAGAGTCATAGGCCTAGATCCCAAGATCTCTGGGTGGGAAGCACCTTGCCCTGAGTTTTTGGGTAAGGCTTCACCAGTACCCCTTGCCAGTGATGGGTCCACTAAGAAGCCCCTGAGGCTGCTTGCTAATGAGTATTAATTAATTAATACTCATTAAGTAATTAATGCTTTAATTAGCAGGAAATAAAGGCAAAGAAACCAGGGAGCATTTGTGTGACCAGGGTTTGCTGTAAGAAGGCCCATATATTTTGCAGAGTACAGCATTGCCTCATTTAACATTTTGTGTCTGAAACTTCAGTGTGCACATATTGTCTGTTTAAAGTTGATTCCCAGTTGTTTGGTCTTCCAAACCCATAGGCAAAACCTGCATGAACAGCAGAACTGCTCACTGCCCTGCTGGGGGATTTTATTCCTCAGCTGCCTGCTTTTCTCCTTTAGGCCAAATTCTAGGCTTAGGGATTCATTCTTTGGTGTATGTGATATTCCCCATCAGCCTGTACCACCCACTCCTTGCACCTGTGGGATGACTCCCTGGCTTGTGGGATGGAGCCATTCACAGGCCAGCAGCGCCCAGGCTTGAGGTGGTGTAGGGGTTTCTTCTCCCTTCCACTGGACCTTAGGATCCATGTAGAGCTTCTCCACATTCCAAGGGTCAGCACAACCTCCCCCGCCCCCAATCCATGAAATCAGAACTTTGTTTGGGGCCCAGGCATCAGTAAGTTTGAGAACATCCCCAAAAGATTCTCATATGCAGCCAGTGCTGAGATTATCTGATCATCAGACTCACTTAAGAAGCTTGTTTAAAAAGATAGATGGTCCCAGGCCTCATTTGGTACTAAACCAGTATCCAGGCAGGGTTCTTAGGGATCTGCATTGTATTATTCTTGGGGTAAAGCAAGTTTGGGAAGCGCTGTCCTGCTGTTTAAATAAATGGCTGAGCCCTGAACCCAGTGAGCCCTGGGCCCAAATCCAAGGTCAGGGACTTCTTTACAACACAGTTGAAATTCAGTTTCCCCAGTTGTGCAACAAGGGCTGTATTTACAGGAAACATTAGTAGCAACAAATGAGGGCAGCTATTACATACTTAGCCAAGTACCCAGTGTGTGGTCTGTGATAGGGTCAGTCACAACAGGGAGGGTATGTTTTCAGTGCCTAGGATGAAGAAGGCTGGAAGTGGAGGGGTGTGAGCTGTCCATCCCTTTGTCAACTGCTTACTCTCTTTTCTCTCTATAGGTCGTTTGGGGTGGTCCTCTGGGAGATCGCCACACTTGCTGAGCAGCCATACCAGGGCTTGTCCAATGAACAAGTCCTTCGCTTTGTCATGGAGGGTGGCCTTCTGGATAAGCCAGACAACTGCCCGGACATGTTGTAAGTATTTCCTGGGCCCCTCAGCTCTCCCTTGGATCCTTTTTCTCAAATAACTGTTCTTGCATCACATGAGATTAGTATTTCTGGGAGCAAATCTAGTCACAGCAGGGACTGGGATGGTTGGGAGTGGTTTAGAACGGAGTTTATCGCAATGGAAGGAAACAGGTACCATAACCCACCCCTTATTCCTCAACCTTTTAGTTCTGATCTGCAAATTGCACTGTGGTTTCTCAAGCCAAATGTTAACTCTTAAGTTCCAGACCTTCCAGCCTTCAGCAAGCCTGAGGGAACTGCCACAGTTGGTATATACCAAGGCTTTATAGTCAGGAATACTTCATGGACTGTGTAGGGTAAACCTCAGATCTCTTGCCCTGGACAGTGCCAATGTACTGCCACCTCTGTGGTACCCCTCAAAGTTTCTTTTCTATTAATTATTTATAAAAATCATAAAGTGGCATGCTATCCAGAACTCCAGCCATGATCAATATGGATCTAGGACATGATCTAGCTGACCTCCCTGCAGACCTGACCCTGGGTACACACAGCTTCAAGTGCTGGAAATTTGTCTCTTTGGCCTACTTTTTTTTTTTTCCTGAAGGAATACCTTACCATTTTCAGTTCCTGAGATTAAGTTCCTAAGAATGTACATGGGGTCTCATGGCCACGGTGGCTCATCATTCTTAGGAAAATACCCTCTTTTGTTGGAGTGAGGATTTGCTCTGCTATGTCAGGGGACAACATTTTGTGGAAGGAGGTCGGAGATGGAAGACCCTCATTGTCTTTCTGTGTCAGAGGAGGGCTGTGAAAGTGCTCTGTCATTGGGATCATCATGTGCAGGGCAAGTACTATTGGAAGCAGTGGGCTTGTTTTTGACATATACATTAGACAGATTCAGAGATTCTTCTGGATCAAAATACATAAACATGAAGGTTGGCTACTACAAGCATCCCAAGAGTAATTTATGAGATTTCCAAGACTACCATTCAGGACAGTGTCTGCTACATTGACACAGAGGAATTGTTGGACTACTTTTTGTTCTACATTGAGGATATCAAGATCAGCCCACCTGCCCATCTGTGTACTGTCCACCCAGCCTTGAGTGAGCACTGACTCATGCTGGGCCCTATGGTGGTGGGATGGCTTGCAAATATGAATCAGACATACATGTCAAGTGGGTACTAGAGGAACTGACCTGGGCAACCATGAAAGCTTTGCTTATTTGGTCTCTCCGTTTCCAGGGTCAGGAATCCAGACCTGAGTGTGCTGAGTCCTTTAGTCAGGGTTTCACAAGGCTGAAATCAAGGTGTCAGCTGGGGCTGCAATCACATCTGAGGCTCAGGGTCCTCTTCCCAGCTCATTCAGGTTATTGGCAGAATTCATTTCCTTGCAGTTATAGTACTGATATCCTCACTTCTTGCTGGTTTGTTCTCAGCTCCTACAGACTCCTGTCAGGACCTTGACACAGCCCCCCTTCCATGGACTCTCTCACAATACAGTAGCTTGCTTCAGGATCAGCAAGAAAATCTCTGTTACTTTGAAGGTTTTCCAACTGATTAAGTCAGACCTACTCAGGATGATCTCCTTTTTGATGAACCCGATGTCAGTTGACTCATAACCTAATTAGAAGAGTGAAACCAGTCATATTCACAAGTCCCACCCACTCAAGAGTAGGGATTATACAGAATATGTATAGCAAGAGCAGGAATCTTCATGGCCATCTTAGAATTCTGGCTATGATGGTATCCAGAGTGGAAACCATAACTCTATCAATAAACTGTGGTTTTGTGTTTTGTTTTTTATCTCAAAGCACTTGGAGTATTCTACCAAGACTGATCCTTGTGCTCCATGTAGAGGTGGTAGGCCATGTTCTCCTGACTCTAGCTATGATTCTGAAGGGTAGATGGGTGAGGGAGACTCAGTGGGAGCACCCCTGTGCTTCAGAAGTATACTAACTAAGTGTTGTGTTTATTAGCTGCTGCTTCTGAGCATTTGTTCAGCTGAAGGTTCTTCTATCCCATAGTCACTTCGTAGGGAGTTAAGAAAGTAGACTGGAAGAAGTTGGCAGCGGATGTCGTAGGGAAAGCATCATTCTCACAGTGGCTAGTGTATGTAGAGGAATGCTGCTTATCTAAGCAGCGTGTGTGTGGGGCTGGAGGAGTAGTCTAAGCAGTCCACCAAGACCAGAGGGCTCCACTTTCCAGAAAACCAAAAACCAAATTCACTGCTGTCGAGTCTATTCGACTCATAGCAACCCTTCCTTGGGTTTCTGAGGTGGTATCTCTACGGAAGTAGATTGCCCAATCTTCCTTCTGAGGAGTGGCTGGTGGGTTTGAACTGCCAGCCTTCTGGTTAGCAGTCAAATGCCTTAGGTACTATGCCACCAGAGAGCAGAGGGATTTCCCACTACAGCCTCTCCAGAACTCCTGAATCCAAAGTTAGAAGAAACTTAATGATCATTTAGTGCGTTTTTTTTGTGCAGCACAGACATTCTCTCACCTCATCTGTATTAGCTACTTATTGCAACATAATAAATTATCCTAAAACTTGACAGCTTAAAACAGTAATAAACATTTATTATCTCACAGAGTTTCTAAAAGGAATCTAGGAGGCTGTGGCTCAGAGTCTTTCACAGGTTTCAGTCTAGATATCTGCTGGGGCTACAGTCATCTGAAGGCCTGACTGGGACTAGTGGAACCACTTCCAGGGTGGCCCATGTACATGGCTGCTGTGTGCCATTGAGGCCTTAGTCTGTACTTGGACTTCTCTGTAGCACTGATGGAATGTCTTATGACAGGGCAGCTGGCTTTCCCCAGAGCAGGGCTGGGCAGACTTCCTCTTATAGACCAAGTAGTAAATATTTTAAGCTCTGCAGACCATCCAGTCTCTGTTGTTACTACTCAACTCTGCTGTTGTAGCGTAAAACCAGCCATAGATGTTATGTAACAAGCATAGCTGTGCTCCACTAAAATTTTATTTTTGGAGATCAAAATTTGAATTTCATCTCACTTTCATGTGTCATGAAATATTCTTGTGATTTTTTTTTTTTTCTAACCATTTACAGCGAAAAACCATTTGTAGCTCACACACCTTCCAAATGCAAGCAGAAGCCTGGATGTGGCCCCCAGGTCCCTAGATTGCTTACCCCTGTCCTAGAGTTAGTGACCCAAGAACAGAGCAGAAACTTCAGTGTCATTTATGACCTAGGTCAAAGTCAAAAATTTCTCTGTCAATAACTCTGTCATTTCTACCATCTCCTGTGGGTTCTATCGGTCAGCCCTATTCGGTGTGGGAGCAGATTACCTGGGGGTGAGAATACCAGGAGGTGAGACCACTAGGAGTCTTGGAAGCTAGCTCTCACACCGCTTCACCCTCTTTCCCTCACAGATGACTGTCTACACTCTCTTTTGCACACTGTAGCCATGGTATTCTTACCAGCCCGTTATAAGAAAAATCTTCTTTTACAGCCAAAATATAAGTAATGGCAATATGAGGTCTGCTGCCCACTGAGCTTGCATAAAAGTGTGTGGTGCCAGAACAGATGCTACTAGGATCAGTGGCATTTTGGAAAGCTTAGAAACAGTCTAAGAAAGCAGGTGTGCATTTTGTCCATGTGAGTGGGGATGGGGTGGAGAACCATATTGTCTGTGTGTTTTCCCATTTAACTCAAGTATACATTGCCTGTGAGAACCATGTGAGACTCCTGGAGCTGATCCACCCTCAGATGACTGGCATTTTGGTATTAACTGAATAGGCCTGAGAATTAGTTTACCTGCTCTGGGAAAGGCAGAGTACTTCCTGTTCCAAGCAGAGTGACAAGGAAATTTACACAGAGAGGTTATTACATGTTTAATTCAGGAGATGTTTCTGTTTTGCCATCCAGAACCCCCATGGCAAATTTTTCTCCCTTCTAAGAAAAGAACACTTGAGCACTGGTGGTGCAGTGGTTAAGTGGTTAGCTGCTAACCAAAAGGTTGGTGGTTCAAACCCACTAGCCACTCTGTGGGAAAAAGATGTAGCAATCTGCTCCTGTAAAGATTTACAGCCTTGGAAACCCAATGGGGTAGTTTATTCTGCCCTATAGGGTTTCTAGGGGAGCTCTTGTGGCATAGTGCCTAAGGCACTTGACTGCTAACCAGAAGGCTGGTGGTTAAAACTCACCAGCCACTCCTTGGAAGGAAGATTGGGTAATCTACTTCCGTAGTGATACTGCCTCAGAAACCCAAGAAGGGTTCGCTATGAGTCGGGTCCGACTTCGTGGCAAACAAGAACAACAACATAGGGTTTCTAGGATCCCTGGTGGCACAGTGATTAAACTAACCAAAAGGTTGGCCATTCGAGACCACCAGCTGCTCTGCAGAAGAAAGATGTGGCAGTCTGCTTCTGCAAAGATTTACAGCCTTGGAAACCTTTTGCAGCAGTTCTGCTCTGTACTGTAGGGTCCCTATGAATCCAAATCAACCAGATGGCTATTATTATTTTATTTTTATTTTTATTTTTATTTTTTTTGGTCAGGTCACTATGGGTCACAATTGACTCAGCAGCAGTGGGTTTGGTTTTGAGTTAGGAAAAGAACAAAGTGAAAGGTGGCTAGTTGGTTTCATAAGGAATGGCTGTATCATCCTAAATGTATTGATGAGCTTAGGTAAGGAAGAAGTACTCTGGGAGAGTTCTTTAGTTACAAGAAATGAAAGAATGGGCAAAGTTGATCCCAGAGTAGAGGAAACTCAATGACACTGTAAGAGTACATGTGGAAGAGAAACTACTTCAGCAATGGCTAGAAGCCTAAACAGGGACCTTAGGGAAATGTGGGGGCACAGAGGCTGCTGAGGGATTTCAACAACCTTCAGCTGTTGAGTGATGCCTGCAAGTGAACCAGGTTGTCTTGGGAGCAGCCAAATCCCCACCCCACTATATCACAGAATGCTCAGGTTAGATGAAGCCCCCATCATCTGAGGCACATAGTATTAGGTTTGTGAGTCCCAGTGTCATGGCTCAATTTGAGTTAAGTCAGCAAATATCATAGAAAAAGATTCAGCTTATGATGTGTTGGTGGGTCCACATTGTAAATTGACAACCAGGCAACCAGGCTCATCCTTGACCTCCCGTCACACTCATCTCTCAATACTTCACCACAAATGGTATTGAAACTGGCTGAGTACGTGCTGATAGCTAATGTTTGCCAAAGTCTGGCAAAGTAAAAGGAACTAACTCTAACACTACATACAGGATAAGGGCTAGAGCAGAAGTGTGAACTAAGCCTTAACAGCTCGAGTGAAGCAGCCATTTATTCTGCTGGTAAAACTTCCACAACTCCACTTGTCAAGACTCCTGCCAGCAAAGTCTTCTGGATGCAGGATTCAAGAAAGAAATTGCATTGTTTTAGCCCAGAGAGTCATGAACTCATAGATGAGTTTGAAACAAAGTCAGTAGAATCTGATTGTTTATGCAGTTTTTAAGCATGGGTTTTTCCCTGTTGATGATTTATATCCTCACATTGCTGGGAATCCTGGGCTGGTTTTGAGGGAATCATGTGCTTGAGTGTGGGGTCCAATCAGGCAATAATGGCTACTTCCTGCCCAGTTGGCCCTGAGCTGTGCTTTTCCATGTTAGGGAGCCCCTGCTTTTGAACTATATCCAGAGACAGTGACCTGGGCTGTGAGGGGAGGACCACTCCCAGCACCCCAGGTCCTCTCTGAAATTAGGTCTCTCTGTTGTGAGTGTTATTACTTGGACTGAAGCTGTGCTAACGTTGGATGGCAGGAATGCTTTGATCCTGAGCTGCCCATGTGTGCATCTTGGCTTGCTAATGACCAGCACAGATCACAACTTGTCCAGTTCACAACATCACATTGGAGCCTGGAAGCAGAGAGCAGTATATAAAGAGGAAGCCCCTCCACGTGTACAGGATGGCAGGGCCAGTGCCATCATCCCTCTTTTCTATGCCCTTGACCATTACTCAGCCTCCCCAGATCACAAATGTCACACACTAAGTAAGATCTTTACAGTTGAGACAAGAATATAGTTGCATCTTATTCCTGTCCCTGATGTAAAGCTGTATGCTCACTTCCCCTGCGTGTGGGGAGCAGTCAGTCAGACACCTCTCCACAATCGCCCAAAGGGGCTCAGGATTCGCCAGAGCTAATTATAAAAAAATGTGGGTTTTTTTAGCAAAGATGCATGGAAACAATTAGTCCAAGGGACTAGTAGACCATATGATCATGAGACCAGAACTAGATGGTGCCTGGCTACCACTGTCAACCACTCTGAGAGGTATCAGTGCAGGAGATCCTGGATAGAGTGGGAGAACAATGTGGAACAAAACTTAAAATCATGAAAAAAAGAGACCAGGTTTACTGTCTGATAGAGGCAGGTGAGACCCCTGAGACTATGGCCTCTAGTTTCTCTGCAGGTCTGGAACTGAACTCACCCCTGAGGCTTCCAGCCAAACAATAGACAGGCATATGGGGTGAACATTTCCATCAGGTAGGTACACTCCTTGAAGTGATCGATTAAGGGAGAACAGAAGGGCAGTATTTGCACAAGGAGGTGGGGAGGGGATGGGAGTACATGGGAGGGAAGGACACAGGGAAGAGGTAACTACAGAGAGGAAGTAGGAAGAGAGCTGTTACATTGTAGGGAACTATAGTCAATGTGGGTATGAACTGCTGAATGGAAAATGAATTTGCTCTGTAAACTTTCACCCAAATCAAAATATAAAATAAAATGTGCTTTTTTAAAGAGGAGATTTATCAACTCATAAATCCTTCTAGAGTCTTCTGGAAAGTTTTCTTGCTGAGAAAGTGTAAACAAGGTCTTGAATACCACAGAATAGAAAAAAAACTTCCTTTTATGGGCAGCACTGTAAGGGCTGTGAATCTGGAATGATTTAAAAGAGGCATCACATGGCTTGTTTGTGCTGATGTCATCCACATCACTCCCGTATCTGTGGCACCTCCTCAGCCTCTCCAGGCCATGGGGGCACAAAGCCAGGGCACAGTGCATGTCCTTGGCCCAGCTGTAGTTCTATTCAGGGATAAGTCAGTCAGCCAAAGGAGGAAATGGCAGCAAAGCAATAGAGAGGGATTTCATGTATTTATGACCCATTTAAAAATGTTTCTATCCTTTTTCTTAGGAAGTGATGAGGGAAGGAGTATGGACAGGCAGGCTCATTTTCCACCTAACCACAGAGAGACAACAAACTAGCTGCCAGTCTACCAGTGCAAACCCCTGTAACATCTGGGACTATTCTAGACAGCCAAGAGAGGGAGGATCTCTTCGACGGACCATGGTTACTCTTGTTTAGGTTGAGAGAAAATTCATTTTTCTGAGGAAGGTAGCAATCAAAGTGTAGCCATGCTGTTTCACAAAGAACTCTATCCCAGCTCCACCCCTTACTAGTTTTGTAGTCTTGGACTACAAAAGTATTTGATCTTTTGGCACTTCTGTTTCTTCATCTATAGAATGGGGATGATAATAGTACCTGCTTCACAGACTTGGGAGAGTTAAAGTAGTTCACACACACAAAACTCTTGACTGTCAGAAAGACAGTGTCTCCTGCTACTCCCAACCAACAAATGCTGGCTCCTCCTATTGTTGGTGTGGTCCTGCTGCAGGGGGTTTAGTTGGGAAGGAGAAAAACTAGTCAGCCTTCATGTTTAGCTGCTTTTTCCTCTAGAGGAAGGGTCACCAAACTTTCCGGAAAGGGCCAGACAGTAAATATTTTAAGCTTTGGGCTCATATAGTTTCTGTTGCAACTACTCAACTCACAATTATAGCTTGAAAGCAACCCCTGAATGGATGGGCCTGGCTGTTCCAATAAAACCAGATTTACGGAAACATGCAGGAGGCTAGGTTTGGCCCCAGCTGTAATTTGCTGACCCCTGTTCTAGAACATTAAATCTGTATGGAACCCCTTCTTGTCCATTCCCACCCTTCCTCAAGGTCATGTATTCCTCCACCCGACTTTATTCTAAACACCTTGTTTCCCACATCTTCGAAGGTAGTCTGGCCAGGTGTCCATGTACTTTCTTGTTCCAGGCCAGCTTGCATGCTCAGTAGCCTTCTATTACATTCTGTTTCTCCCATTGGAATTTTCCCTGGTGCCATATGTAAGCACATGGTTGTTGGTCAAGTGGTCAATCTGACAGAAGGCTGGATGCCAGTTTAGGGTGCTTTGAGCTTCCTGGGTATAAGTGTTCCATATGGCCATTTTTATTCAAAAGCATCTTGTTAAGCAGAATTTTTCAAACAAAACAAAGAATAAAATTTTCTGGAGAGAACAGATAGAAGGGAAGGCATTTTGTTTTTAAGCTTACATGAGAGAGGACCTCTGTCCCAGAACCATAGCTTCTTCTACATTATGTGGCCAGCCTAGATATGTGCTTGTGCAACTTCCCTTTTGCTCTGAAGACCTTTTTAGCTGGGTGTCTGCATGCTGGGTTAATAAGAAGTATCCCCTCTTCCCGCAGCCATTCTGAACTTTCATCAAAGTCCTGGTGTTTCCTGGGTTGGGGCATCTGGCTACACCAGCACAACACTCCCCTTTTCTTCTCTGTGTGGCCTCCTGTTCTCATGAGAGACCAGTCGCATGGCTGGGAAGATTCCCCTGTGGCTCATAAGACTCTGTAAGGGCTTCACAAAGGTTTGCAGCCAAAGTGCCACAGTGGCCAGCTGGCAAGACTGGGGCACAGCATAGTTTCATTCACTGCTCTCTGCCTGTCGCTGGCTGGTAGACAAGACTAATCCACAGATGCTCCCTCTCTGGCTTCATGTCTGCACTGGGACAATAGTTCTGCTCACATGGCCTGGGTCATAGGCCTGCCTCTGCGGGTCTTGCAGCAAGCAGCCTCAAGCCCCAGGTGCTAAGTGGAGACTGCAGCTTGGAGCATGAGCCCCTTCTGTTTTGCAACCATGCCACCTCCTTATGCCTGCATCCTCAAGTTGTGCCAGTAGTAGCCCTGCCACCATGAGGTAGGTTGGAAATATCAGAGGTGGGATAAAAAAAAGATCACTGTTAGTAAAGCTGTGGTCCCTCATCTACCTTCTTAATGAGAAACCTGAGGTTGCTGGCATTCGAATTCTTGAAATCACGTTTGAAGCAAAGCTGCAAGAGTTGCTTCAAATAGAAAGCTGGTTACTTTTATTTTTACTTCTTAGTACTGTCACCTTAAATAATACATGTGATGTCAGCCTCTGTGTGAACTGAGATTTGCCCTCCTCAAGAGAGTTTGGGTTTTCTGCCATTATGAGTCATGGGTCCTGAATTAGGTGGTTGGAATGGTGGAACATAAGACAGGAGAAGCTGAAGGCTATGGAGTCTATCAATATAGAAAGCCAGAGACTTAAAGAGAGGTGGCAGATGATTTTTATTGATCTCATTGTACATACATCTGGTGGGGAAACCACAGCAAATAGGCAAGGCCACTTTGCCCTGTACTTCCTTCCAATCTGCATCCATCTCTGTCTGTCTTCACTTAGGTTTGAGCTGATGCGCATGTGCTGGCAGTACAACCCCAAAATGAGGCCTTCCTTCCTGGAGATCATCAGCAGCATCAAGGACGAGATGGAGCCTGGCTTTCGGGAGGTCTCCTTCTACTACAGTGAGGAGAACAAGCCTCCTGAACCGGAGGAGCTGGACCTGGAGCCGGAGAACATGGAGAGCGTCCCCCTGGACCCCTCTGCCTCCTCCTCCTCCCTACCGCTGCCCGACAGACACTCAGGACACAAGGCTGAGAATGGCCCAGGCCCTGGTGTGTTGGTTCTCCGAGCCAGTTTCGATGAGAGACAGCCTTACGCACACATGAATGGGGGACGCAAGAATGAAAGGGCCTTGCCTCTGCCCCAGTCTTCGACCTGCTGATCCTTGGATCCCGAACCCATGCAAACCGTAATGTGTGTGCACACTCAGCGGTGGGGTGGGGGGAGGAAAAGAGACCGTTTTAACAGTATATTCAAAAGCCTCCTGTACCTCAGTGGATCTTCAGAACTGCCATCGCTGCCCATGGGAGACAGCTTCTCTTCAGTAAACACATTTGGGATGTTCCTTTTTTCAATATGCAAGCAGCTTTTTATTTCCCTAACCAAATCGTCCAACTGACATGGGCCTTTAAGAACCTTAATAACAATAGCAACAGAGCACTTGAGAACCCAACCTCCTCACTTTCTTTCCCTGTCTCTTTTTCTCATGTCTCTCTCTGATGCATTTCTCTTTTTCTCTGTTTCCTAATAGAAACACATTTGCCACAAGTCCAGCCGTGATACCCTTTTTATCAGATTGAGGAAATGGCTGTCCAGGTGGTTCCATAGTAGCCCTCTATCAGCACCTGCTTGACATCGTCAGTCTTTATAAAAACCAGTTAGGACTGAATATTTTAACTATATTTTCAACTTTTTGAGGGACATACTAAATTTAAAAAGGGCCATCATTCATCCAAGTTTGTTAATGCTGCCAAATTTTGCCAAAATCTGGAACTTTCTCCTTTACAACCCTGCAATTATATTCTTATTTCCAGAGGCACGTAGAAGGGCATTTTGTCACTCTGTTTAAGAGAAATATCGGTGATGCCTCCCATCTGATCATTCATTGGTGTTCTTTTAAGTCTCATGTTCACAATGATCTAATTGCTTTTGGCCTAGCTTAGTATTTGGGGGAACTCTATAAATATGGGACTTAGTGAAGATGGGGAGAAGCTGACCTGGCTTCCCTGTCCCACTTTCCCACCCCTCACCCTTTAGCCCCCAAGAATTCTGGAGAAAATCGGCCCTGTCAAGAGCCTGAGTCACAGGCTTTGAGCACAGGTCATCCTCATGGCAGTCTCCCCGCTCTACCCCCTCCCAGCCCCAAGGACACAGATGGGGAGGGGTTTCTAGGGACTCAGCCCAACTGTTTATGCAGGTTTGCAAGGAAAGAAATTCAACCACCACCACAACAATACGAAGAAAAGCAGTACATGGATTCAAGCATTCTAAGCTTTGTTGAGATTTTCTGTTACTAGGACTTTTTCATGGTTCTTACAGTTCTATGTTAGACCATGAAACATTTGCATACACATCGTCTTTAATGTCACTTTTATAACTTTTTTACGGTTCAGATATTCATCTATACGTCTGTACAGAAAAAAAAAAAAAGCTGCTATTTTTTTTGTTCTTTATCTTTGTGGATTTAATCTATGAAAACCTTCAGGTCTACCCTTCCTTCCTTTCTGCTCACTCCAAGAAACTTCTTATGCTTTGTACTAGAGTGTGTAACTTTCTTCCTCTTTTCCCAGTAATTGATACTTATATACATACTTTACCATGAACTGTTTGATGCCTTTTTATAAACACATCCCTCCCTCCCCACTCTCCCTACCCCATTAGTTGTCTAACTCTAACCCATAGGCTTTGTGGGCATGAGGTTGGTGAGGGAACGGGGTTGGGAGAAGACCGGAGCCTGCCCCTTCTGAGAGGTCCATGGTCTGGCTGGCCAAGTCCCCTCTTCCCTTAGCCTGCTTTCACACAGCATTTGAGTCTGTTACAGTACAAGACATGATACAAACTCAGGTCAGAAAAAAAAGGTTCAATCTTTTGCACATCCTTGTTCAGTGTTTCTATCCACCATTGTTGAAAAGTCTCACCTGCTCTTTTCCTTGCCTTTGTTTTGGTTGTGACACACATATATATATTTTTTTAATTCTTGGGTACAACAGCAGTTTTAACTGCAGACACTAGGCATTTAGGTTACTATTATTATTATTTTTTAAGTGGATATTTAATCCTTCCATCCCGTGAGAAATAGCTGCTGAGTCCAAGGGTGTAGCTGAGTGTGGTCCAGCAGGCCCCTCTGTGGCTTTTGCCACCACCCTCACCAGACCAACCTACCTGTCTTTAGAGTCAGAAACTCCTATGGGCCCTCCTTGGCACTGGCAGGGAGGCAGAGCCCATGCTGTGACTGGCCCTGGGGCCACAGCCTCAGGGGTGTTGGCACAACCCCTCCCCATCTGCCTCGGAATGCCAGGTCAGGGCAGAGCCCACCAGAGGGGCCGAGGAACCCTGCGCTAACTCCCAGGGAACCAGAACCCTGGCCTCTCACTCTCTCCCTCAGCCAGAAATCCAAATTCTCAGAGTCTAAAGAGGGGAGGCTTATTTCATTTTGCTTTTAGCACTTCCCACCAGAGTGATGACAGCACAAGAGTTGCTTCTGGGATGGAAACATTTAAATTATGAATAAGAACAAAGTTAAAATATGATGATTGCTAGTTGTGACTGGAGAGTAAAAACAGAAAAGGCTTATAGTGCTCTTTTCCTTGTCTTTAGTTTCAGTCCCACTATTTTCTCTAGTCTCTGTCCCATAGTTTTCCCCTTTAAAAAAATAAGAAAAAGTTCATTAAGAAGGTATTATATGTAGGAGTTTTCTTTTAATTTATTTTCTGATACCAGTTTCAAGCACTGTAGAGAAGCCCCATTATGAATCTAAATACTGAGGAAAGGGTTTTGCGTGTGTGTGTAAAATGGGACAGTTTTTTTATTTTTTATTTTTTTTCAAACATTTATCTACCTCACTCTTATTTTTTTATATGTGTATATATAAAAAAAGAATACATCTCACATTTCTCAGCACCTGACAATATAATGTTGATACTGGTAACCTCATCCACGCCACAGGCTATACACACCAGGTGACAAAGGGAGAGGCCAGACTGTACTCCGGGGTCAAATCAACACTCCAGCTCATCTCCCCACTCTTTTCCAAACTGCTTGCCTTTTTCTAAGATGTCTTGTTTTGGTTGCTTTTGTTCTTTTTCCAAACTTAGAGGTGGCAAGGTATCCAGGTTTTCCTTCTCCCAACCCAGCAGCCTCAAGGGCCCAGGGTGCTCTGTATTCAGCAGGAAAGCTCAGGAGACTACCAGAGCTCTAAGCAGGGAGACCAGTTGGCCATCCTATGCTGTCTTTGAAACAAAGTACTTTATGCAGATTGAATGATGAACAAGTTTCCTCCTGGAAAGAGCTGTTTGTGGTCTCTCTGTTAGAATCCCATGTGCAAGTGGGCAGTTTGGGGTTCCCCCTCTCAGCTGCTCCTCACACAATGACATGCTGCTGCGTTTGTTAACCTTAACATTGCAGCCATGTTGGCAATGTAAGAGCACAACCTGCCTGCCCTTCTGATTGAGAACACAGAGATTCCTGGCATAACAGCCAATCCAATATAGAGAATGTACTGAGGAGACAAGGCCCCTTCTCCCTCTCCGGACTGTTCTCTCAACTTCACCCTCACCACCTCCTCCCCTAGGGGAGAAGAAAAACCTACAGAACCTGCATGGACAGGACTGGTCGTGTGGAGCCTCCCATCAGGTCTCTGCCCTGCTGCTCACAGGGGTGGGAGGTACTTCCCCAATTCTAGCAGCTGCTCCGAAAGGCCCTGGGAATTTTATCTGGAAAACACGGTGGGTGGTTCTCCCAAAGTGTGGGTGCTCCTTTAAAATCCCAGTCCTGCAGTTAAACTTGGGAGCATTTTCCCTCCTGCAAGGACTCCAACCTCCGTTCCCATGTCCACCAGGATCTTAGTAATTGAGAAATACTGCTTGATCAGGGTTTCTTCTTTCACATTGTTGGTGACCCCTCAGAATAGTGACCTCTCCTCTCTTTTGCACATACCTACCGGTTTCCACAACTGGATTTCTACAGATCATTCAGCTGGTTATAAGGGTTTTATTTAAACTGTCCGAGTTGTTGGTGTCATTTTGTATTTGTTTTATGTAGGTGGTTTTTCTTTAAGTAGGAAGAAAACACTAACAGTGTAGTGCCCATCATAACATGCTTCAGAAACAAATAAAAGAAAATTTTGCTTGCATGACGGTGCAGTCTTTTTACTGGACCAAAATCACCCACCTCGACTATACCAAGGCATCATCTAGTCACAGTTCTAGCCTACTTTTATGCTGATTTTTCCACCTCTTCTTGATTTTTCTCTTTTGTATGCTCCAAATAATTTTATAAATCTGAGTTGTGGCATTTTCCATGCAACCTCCTTCTGCCAGCAGATCACACTGCTTGAAATGACATGAACCACTGAGGCCCATCAATGGATTGATGTGAGCATGAAAATATTATCACCCATGGCCCTGCCCTGAGGCAGCAGGGGCTGGTTTATTGTAGAGATGTTAAACTTCAGCTGGGTGAGGCCTAGGTCACTCCAGGTCTCCTGTATGTGATGGCAGGATGCTGACGTTTGACATGCAGTTGGAATGAGCTTCCTCCTTGGAAGATAGATACAAGATGGTGTTTGTGCCTAGCACTGGCCTCTCCTCCAGCTTACTTCTTATGACTCTGAAAAACATATCAATGGTAGGAAAAATGGGTAAGCAAAATAGAAGAGTTGTTATTGTGGAACTACCAAATGGAAGAAGGCTTGAAGGGTGTGTTTCAGTTGGAGTGACAGATTTTTGAGCAAAATATGCTGCCAAATCCTAGGTCACTTTGTTCCACCAAAGCCTCTTTCCTAGCAGCCTACCTCTGTCTACAGGTGGTTGTACGCTATGTGGGCTGCTGCAGTGGCAAGGTCACGCTGAGTTCCGACCAGTGAGAAGGCCGGGTTGCCCAGTCCCAGGTCCTCAGCTGTTGCTGTGGGGTTCTCCCAGGGAAGCCAGATAGTATTGAAGGCAACTCCCTTCCAAAACAATGGCACCCTCCAGTTGACAGTAAGTAACACACCATGCCATGCCTTGGCTCATTCTAGCATTGCATTTAAGGTTTAGAGTTTGTTCTTTTGTTAATGTTACTTTTGTGTTTGTCAGCTGTTTTTCATTTCCTGGGCTAAGCAGCATTGAGAGATAGACACCAGAGATCCACTCCTTAAGCATCAGTGATGAAAGTCAAACTGTC